GGTGGTGACCACAAACATCACTCCCTATGATCTAACACGGCGTGGAGCCTTATATAGGTATCTCACCGTAGATTGCAGGATAGGTAACCTCAGGTAGTCCAGTCTCATAGGCTAGCCATAATAATTGGCAAATGTCTATTTTAAGGTTAGAAGTTGAAATGTATTTAAAAATGAAAAAAATCAACAACTAAAGGCTCACTCATGCTGTAAACAAATTACACAAACATTTCATTCAACCAAGTGTTTAATGATAGTTAAAATTTACATCAAAACAAAACTGTACATTATGGTTTGTATGACAGTGAATCGCTGACCCTCTCGCTATTAATTATATTTCAGAGATGGTTTTGGTAGAATGTAGGTGTCCAGTTGTATCTACTGTTGTTGGTACCTCCAGTAGACTGTACAGAGGGGACCAAACAAACAGCAGAATGCGTAGATTCATGTTTGAATTTCAACATGTTTTAGGTGTAGTAATCCAATAACTTTTCAAATGTAGTAGGTTATGTTAATCTCTGTTATCCAGGTAAGTATGAGACATTTTTGTAAAATTCAAAAGCCAGTAAATTGATAAATTACAAGGCATCACAAGTGATACAAATCCCCTCGCTTTCACACATTGTGTGCCATATGTACACGAGGAAATTAATAGAGAATTCAATGATGTAACAGTAACTGCTCTAGCTACTGCATCTGTTAAAGGTATTGTCAACGCAAACACTTGTATAAAGTTTCATGAAATTGCATTGAGGAATGAAGTCGCTAGAGTGATGACAAAGTTTTCCTAAAAAATATTAACAGTGACCTTGACCTTCAACGCAGTAGCCCGAAACGCAAACTTGTTCAAAGTATTGTCATTCCAAACACTTGTATGAAGTTTTATAAAATTCTGTGGAGAAATGAAGTTGCTAGAACGATGACAAAGAATGTACTGTACGTATGTATTGTATGTACATGCGTAGGTAAGTGTATGTACCTGAATATGGGCGGAATCCTATATAACCTCAAACTTTCGTAGCAAGGGGATTATAATGATAGAATTATACATATTCATTTCTTACATTACATACAGCATATACAACTTGAACCCAAATATATCATACTAGGTGTGACCATGTGACGGGGAACCTCTAGTCACTAGGTGTGGCCATGTGTGTGACTGGGAGCCTCTAGTCATTAGTTGTGACCATGTGTGTGACAGGGAGCCTCTAGTCACTAGATGTGACCATGTGTTTGACGGGGAGCCTCTAGTCACTAGGTGTGACCATGTGTGTGACAGGGAGCCTCTAGTCACTAGGTGTGGCCATGTGTGTGACTGGGAGCCTCTTGTCACTAGGTGTGACCATATGACGGGAAGTCTCTTAGTCACTAGGTGTGACCATGTGTGTGACCTGGAGAATCTTGTCACCAGGTGTGACCGTGTGATGGGGAACCTCTAGTCACTAGGTGTGACCATATGTGTGACTGGGAGCCTCTTGTCACTAGGTGTGACCATATGACGGGAAGTCTCTTAGTCACTAGGTGTGACCATGTGTGTGACGGGGAGTCTCTAGCCACTAGGTGTGACCATGTGTTGGACGGGGAGTCTCTAATCACAAGGTGTGACCATGTGACGGGAAACCTCTAGTCACTAGGTGTGGCCATGTGTGTGACGGGGAGCCTCTAGTCACTAGGTGTGACCATGTGACGGGAAGTCTCTAGTCACTAGGTGTGACCATGTGTGTGACCTGGAGAATCCTGTCACCAGGTGTGACCATGTGTATGATGGGAAGCTTCTTGTCACTAGGTGTGACCATGTGTGTGACGGGAAGGTTCTTGTCACTAGGTGTGACCATATGATGGGAAGTCTCTTAGTCACTAGGTGTGACCATGTGTGTGACGGGAAGCCTCTAGTCACTAGGTGTGACCATGTGACGGGAAGTCTCTAGTCACTAGGTGTGACCATGTGACGGGAAGTCTCTAGTCACTAGGTGTGACCATGTGTGTGACGGGGAGTCTCTAATCACAAGGTGTGACCATGCGACGGGGAACCTCTAGTCACTAGGTGTGACCATGTGTGTGACGGGGAGCCTCTAGTCACTAGGTGTGACCATGTGACGGGAAGTCTCTAGTCACTAGGTGTGACCATGTGACGGGAAGTCTCTAGTCACTAGGTGTGACCATGTGTGTGACGGGGAGTCTCTAATCACAAGGTGTGACCATGCGACGGGGAACCTCTAGTCACTAGGTGTGACCATGTGTGTGACGGGGAGCCTCTAGTCACTAGGTGTGACCATGTGACGGGAAGTCTCTAGTCACTAGGTGTGACCATGTGACGGGGAGCCTCTAGTCACTAGGTGTGGCCATGTGTGTGACGGGGAGCCTTTAGTCACTAGGTGTAACCATGTGTTGGACGGGGAGTCTCTAATCACAAGGTGTGACCATGTGTGTGACGGAGAGCCTCTAGTTACTAGGTGTAACCATGTGTTTGACGGGGAGCCTCTAGTCACTAGGTGTAACCATGTGTTTGACGGGGAGCCTCTAGTCACTAGGTGTGGCCATGTATGTGACGGGGAGCCTCTAGTCACTAGGTGTGACCATGTGAAGGGAAGTCTCTAGTCACTAGGTGTGACCATGTGTGTGACGGGGAGCCTCTAGTCACTAGGTGTGACCATGTGACGGGAAGTCTCTAGTCACTAGGTGTGACCATGTGACGGGAAGTCTCTAGTCACTAGGTGTGACCATGTGTGTGACGGGGAGTCTCTAATCACAAGGTGTGACCATGCGACGGGGAACCTCTAGTCACTAGGTGTGACCATGTGTGTGACGGGGAGCCTCTAGTCACTAGGTGTGACCATGTGACGGGAAGTCTCTAGTCACTAGGTGTGACCATGTGACGGGGAGCCTCTAGTCACTAGGTGTGGCCATGTGTGTGACGGAGAGCCTTTAGTCACTAGGTGTAACCATGTGTTGGACGGGGAGTCTCTAATCACAAGGTGTGACCATGTGTGTGACGGAGAGCCTCTAGTTACTAGGTGTAACCATGTGTTTGACGGGGAGCCTCTAGTCACTAGGTGTAACCATGTGTTTGACGGGGAGCCTCTAGTCACTAGGTGTGACCATGTGAAGGGAAGTCTCTAGTCACTAGGTGTAACCATGTGTTTGAAGGGGAGCCTCTAGTCACTAGGTGTGGCCATGTGTGTGATGGAGAGCCTCTAGTTACTAGGTGTAACCATGTGTTTGACGGGGAGCCTCTAGTCACTAGGTGTGACCATGTGACGGAAGTCTCTAGTCACTAGGTGTGACCATGTGTGTCACCTGGAGCCTCTTTTTATTGGAGTGTACAAGTACAGTATGCATTCAGACAAGATTTGTAAAAACATGGAAGTATAGGTACTTATATATCAGTATACAGGATAGAAGATATCACACCAGTTATCACTTAAGATTTATATGAGACAAGCACTTCATATTCAATGGGAAAAAGTTTAAGATTTTGTTTATCAAATGTTTAACAACATGGACTGAACTGGCACATTTTTCAATAATTTGACAAGAATAAGTGACAGAAAATACAAAATGTCTTGTTCTTATTGCAACAAAATTATAACAACATGGCATTATTATTTTCACTTTTAATTTGGGTGATATGACAAGTTAAACAAAGTATACACACCAGCATGTGACAACACTGGATCATACACATGAGTTTGGTGACAGGAGATTACAGAAAGTGTCTTGTGACATCTCACAGAAAATAGCATCAGTATAAACATCAAAGGGAGTTTTGTGTGAGTCACTGAAAGGTGGTGTCCGTTGAGAAAGCTCCGGCTAGGTGAAACTCATGGCCCTCCATAATATTACAGTACAATCTGTGAGGGAGAGACTTCGAGTAAGCAGCAGGCCGAGGACAAAATGTCCGAAGGATGTACTCTCGCCCAACAGGACGGGGGAATGCAGATAAGCTGCTCAATCGACTATCCTCTTCTTTTTCTTCGCTGTCATCCACTACCATGTTGATTTCCTGTAAAAAGTTAAAGAATAAAAAAAAAATAACACAGAGTTCACAAAGATATCACCACTACTCCATCCCCAATCATATAGAATGGTAACCATGTGCAGCATGTTACAGTCAAGACAAATATTACAGAATTCACATTTGACATTTGCAAAAACCTTATTGGTTGTGTATGGCCCAAACCAATTTTTAGCATATGATATATTATTGCAGATGAAACTAACAAGTTATGCTTAGTTACTTTCTGACCCTGACCCTCCTTGAGTGTACAGAGAGACCAACGTTCTGTGTGTACAGAGTGACCCACCCCTTGTGTGTAATATGAACCACCTTTTTTTAATAGTGACCCAGCTTCTTCTGTGTGTACAGTGACTTAACTTCTGTGTGTACAGGCTGACCCATCTTCTGTGAGTAAAGAGTGACACAACTTTTGTGTGTACGGAGTGACCCACATTCTGTGTGTAAAGAGTTACCCAAATCATGTGTGTACAGAGTGACCCACCTTCTGTGTGTAAAGAGTGACCCAACTTTTGTGTGTGCAAAGTGACCCACCTGTGTGTAAAGAGTGACCCAACTTATGTGTGTACAGAGTGACCCACTTTCTGTGTTAACAGTGTGACCTGCCTTCTGTGTGTAAAGGAGTGACCCCCTTTCTTTGTGTACAGAGTGGCCAACCTTCTGTTTGTACAGAGTGACCCACTTTCTGTGGGTAAAGAGTGACCCACTTTCTTGTGTAGAGTGACCCACCTTATGTATGTACAGAGTGACCTGCTTTCTGTGTTAACAGAGTGACCCACCATCTGTGTGAAGAGTGACCCATTTTCTGTGGGTACAGAGTGACCCGCTTTCAGTGGGTAAAGAGTGGCTAACCTTCTGTGTGTACAGAGTGGCCTGCTCTCTGTGTGTACAGAGTGACCCACCATCTGTGTGAAGAGTGGCCAACCTTCTGTGTGTACAGAGTGACCTGCTTTCAGTGGGTACAGAGTGGCCAACCTTCTGTGTGTACAGAGTGAACAACTTTCTGTGTGTAAAGAGTGAATCACCTTCTATTTGTACATAATGACTCATCATCTGTGTGTACAGAGTGACCCACCTTCTGTGTGTACAGAGTGACCCACCTTCTGTGTGTACATAAAATCCAACTTTCTGTGTGTAAAGAGTGACCTAACTTCTGTGTGTACAGAGTGAACCATCTCATATGTGTACAGAGTGACTCGCTTTCTGTGTTTAGAGTGTGACCCACCTTCTGTGGGTAAAGAGTGACCCCCTTTCTTGAGTACAGAGTGACCCACCTTCTGTATGTACAGTGTGACTCACCTTCTGTGTGTACATAAAGACCAACTTTCTGTGTGTAAAGAGTGACCTAACTTCTGTGTGTACAGAGTGAACCACCTCATATGTGTACGTGACTCGCTTTCTGTGTTTAGAGTGTGACCCACCTTCTGTGGGTAAAGAGTGACCCCCTTTCTTGAGTACAGAGTGACCCACCTTCTGTATGTACAGAGTGAACCGCTCTCTGTGTTTACAGTGTGGCCCGCCTTCTGTGTATACAGAGTGAACCACCTCATATGTGTACAGAGTGACCCTCTTTCTGTGTGTATAGAGCGAACAACCTTCTGTGTATACAAAGTGGCCAACCTTCTGTGTGTACAGAGTGAACAACCTACTGTGTGTACAGAGTGAACAACCTTCTGTGTGTACAGAGTGAACAACCCTCTGTGTGTACAGAGTGAACAACCTTCTATGCGTACAGAGTGAACAATCTTCTATGTGTACAGAGTGAACAACCTTCTATGCGTACAGAGTGAACAATCTTCTATGTGTACAGAGTGAACAACCTTCTATGCGTACAGAGTGAACAATCTTCTATGTGTACAGAGATAGCAACCTTCTGTGTGTACAGAGTGAACAACCTACTGTGTGTCCAGAGTGAACAACCTTCTATGTGTACAGAGTCACCACCCTTCTGTGTGTACAGAGTGAACAACCTTCTGTGCGTACAGAGTGAACAACCTTCTGTGTGTACAGAGCGAACAACCTTCTATGTGTACAGAGTGAACAATCTTCTATGTGTACAGAGATAGCAACCTTCTGTGTGTACAGAGTGAACAACCTACTGTGTGTCCAGAGTGAACAACCTTCTATGTGTACAGAGTGGCCAACCTTCTATGTGTACAGAGTGGCCAACCTTCTATGTGTACAGAGTGGCCAACCTTCTCTGTGTACAGAGTGGCCAACCTTCTTTGTGTACAGAGTGAACCTTCTGTGTGTACAGAGTGAACGACCTTCTATGTGTACAGAGGGAACAACCTTCTGTGTGTACAGGGTGAACAACCTTCTATGTGTACAGAGTGAACCTTCTGTGTGTACAGAGTGAATAACCTTCTGTGTGTACAGAGTGAACAACCTTCTGAGTGTACAGAGGGAACAACCTTCTATGTGTACAGAGTGAAAAACCTTCTGTGTGTACAGAGAGAACAACCTTCTGTGTGTACAGAGAGAACAATCTTCTATGTGTGCAGAGTGAACAACCTTCTATGTGTACAGAGTGGACAACCTTCTATGTGTACAGAGTGGCCAACCTTCTATGTGTACAGAGTGGCCAACCTTCTATGTGTACAGAGTGGACAACCTTCTATGTGTACAGAGTGGCCAACCTTCTATGTGTACAGAGTGGACAACCTTCTATGTGTACAGAGTGGCCAACCTTCTATGTGTACAGAGTGGCCAACCTTCTATGTGTACAGAGTGGCCAACCTTCTATGTGTACAGAGTGGCCAACCTTCTATGTGTACAGAGTGGACAACCTTCTATGTGTACAGAGTGGCCAACCTTCTCTGTGTACAGAGTGGCCAACCTTCTTTGTGTACAGAGTGAACCTTCTGTGTGTACAAAGGGAACAACCTTCTATGTGTACAGAGAGAACAATCTTCTATGTGTACAGAATGAACCTTCTGTGTGTACAGAGTGAACAACCCTCTGTGTGTACAGAGTGAACAACCTTCTATGTTTACAGAGTGAACAACCTTCTGTGTGTACAGAGCGAACAACCTTCTATGTGTACAGAGTGAACAATCTTCTATGTGTACAGAGAGAACAACCTTCTGTGTGTACAGAGGGAACAACCTTCTGGGTGTACAGAGTGAACAACCTTCTATGTGTACAGCGTGAACAACCTTCTGTGTGTACAGAGTGAACAGCCTTCTGTGTGTACAGAGTGAACAACCTTCTGAGTGTACAGAGTGACCAACCTTCTATGTGTACAGAGTGGCCAACCTTCTCTGTGTACAGAGTGGCCAACCTTCTTTGTGTAAAGAGTGAACCTTCTGTGTGTACAGAGTGAACAACCTTCAATGTGTACAGAGTGAACAACCTTCTATGTGTGTGAACCACCTCATATGTGTACAGAGTGACCCTCTTTCTGTGTGTATAGAGCGAACAACCTTCTGTGTATACAAGGTGGCCAACCTTCTGTGTGTACAGAGTGAACAACCTACTGTGTGTCCAGAGTGAACAACCTTCTATGTGTACAGAGTGGACAACCTTCTATGTGTACAGAGTGGCCAACCTTCTTTGTGTAAAGAGTGAACCTTCTGTGTGTACAGAGTGAACAACCTCCTGTGTGTACAGAGTGAACAACCTTCTATGTTTACAGAGTGAACAACCTTCTATGTGTACAGAGGGAACAACCTTCTATGTGTACAGAGAGAACAATCTTCTATGTGTACAGAGTGAACCTTCTGTGTGGACAGATTGAACAACCTTCTATGTGTACAGAGAGAACAATCTTCTGTGTGTACAGAGTGAACCTTCTGTGTGTACAGAGGGAACAACCTTCTGAGTGTACAGAGTGAACAACCTTCTATGTGTACAGGGAGAACAACCTTCTATGTGTACAGAGTGAACACCCTTCTGTGTGTACAGAGTGAACACCTTTCTGAGTGTACAGAGTGAACAACCTACTGTGTGTACAGAGTGAACAACCTTCTATGTTTACAGAGTGAACAACCTTCTATGTGTACAGAGGGAACAACCTTCTGTGTGTACAGGGTGAACAACCTTCTATGTGTACAGAGTGAACCTTCTGCGTGTACAGAGTGAACAACCTTCTGTGTGTACAGAGTGAACACCCTTCTGTGTGTACAGAGTGAACAACCTACTGTGTGTCCAGAGTGAACAACCTTCTATGTGTACAGAGTCACCACCCTTCTGTGTGTACAGAGTGAACAACCTACTGTGTGTACAGAGAGAACAACCTTCTGAGTGTACAGAGTGAACAACCTTCTATGTGTACAGAGTGGCCAACCTTCTATGTGTACAGAGTGGCCAACCTTCTTTGTGTACAGAGTGAACCTTCTGTGTGTACAGAGTGAACAACCTTCTATGTGTACAGAGAGAACAACCTTCTGTGTGTACAGAGTGAACAACCTTCTGAGTGTATAGAGTGAACAACCTACTGTGTGTACAGAGAGAACAATCTTCTATGTGTACAGAGTGAACAACCTTCTGTGTGTACAGAGTGAACAACCTTCTATGTGTACAGAGAGAACAACCTTCTGTGTGTACAGAGTGAACAACCTTCTATGTGTACAGAGAGAACAACCTTCTGTGTGTACAGAGTGAACAACCTTCTGAGTGTATAGCGTGAACAACCTACTGTGTGTACAGAGAGAACAATCTTCTATGTGTACAGAGTGAACCTTCTGTGTGTACAGAGTGAACAACCTTCTATGTGTACAGAGAGAACAACCTTCTATGTGTACAGAGTGAACAACCTTCT